CACACTTGAACTGATTAAAAAAAGATTTTGGAGTTGCATTTCTCAACAAGGGCTTTCTTTCTATGTAAGTATTATGTAAAAAAAATCCAATTAGGGAGATTTTGCCCAGTCCACCAGGGTTTGAAATCCAGGAAGTTTAAAAAAAGTCGTTCTGATGGCCAGACGTTATTCGATCAAAACGTATTAATTGTCTTCCTGTAAAAAAAGCATACGCTAGTGTGAGCAACATTTAATGCTCTTTTAAGAGATTATCGACTTTCAGTAGTCTTAACAGGTCTGTCTACCCCAGTCCATTTTCTTATCTGAACAACGATAAATCCCCCAATTTGACCGCAGACCACCAACATTTCACTTTGCTAATTCATGCACAAATCAGATCCGATCTTGGTCAATTTTGTCATGTTCTCGACGAAACCGGGAATTTTTTCATTTTAAACTTTAAATCTCAATTACTAATTCTGTTTTTTAAACTTTTTATTATCAAATTTGTCGCCATTTTTCGCTTTTAATTTTTGCATATTTGTTGACGGATCAGAGGTGATGGTAACGATGATAGCCGTGATAGTCGTGGTAATTTGAATTGGAAAATACAGAATTAAAAAGAAAAAGGACAAGAAAAGAACACTTCAGTCTTAACCTTACCACTTGAAATCATGAAACAGCATCTGAAACAACATGTTCTAGTATTAAATAAGCCCGAATTTCTAAAAAAACTGCTGTTTGTCTGAGAAATCGTTCATTTGATCACAGGCAGCCCAGCAGTAATGCCGATTATCCACACCGCAGCCACATTTCTGTACGAAGTAAAAAAAAAAATCATAAGAAGTTGACGCCAAGTCCAATCTGTAGACCAGGATTAATTCTGAACAAAAAAAAAAGGAATATTTATTAGTATTAAACAGTGATTTTAGGGACAAAAAACTAAACTGGAAAAAAAAAATTCAAGAACAGTTCAAGAATCCTAAAAAAGACCGAAAAATTCAACCAATTTTAAAAAAATCGCAATCAAATCTCGACGAAATTTGAAGAAATCAAGAACCGGATGACAAGAAAAAAAAAACTCAAATCTATCTTATTCAAAAGAACACTACTGAATAGCATTTAACTCCGTCCTAAAAAAACCTATTGGACTTCTATTC